CTCTTACCATTCGAGCAGTTAGTAATCTTTGTGTGTCTAATAACTGGTAAATATTCCTTTATTTACTATGTCGTTGACAGAGAACATAAAAAATAAAATTAATAATAAGAAAGGAAGGTGAGGGTTAGATGGAGTAGTTCAGAAAGCGTTAAAGGCCATCCTGGAAAAGCAGGTGTGACCAGACCCTTCCACCCAGGATCGGATGAAACTCTGCTTGCCGAGCCACAACCACCACACAAACCTTGGGCATAAGATTTTCCATGCTTACCTTTCAGAACAAGATGGTGGCAAAAACACAACTAGAAAGTGAGATTCCCCCACAGAATCACCCGCTTCTGAACCCTTTCTGTGCCGTGGGCCCTCTTGACACCTGGGTTGATGTGTGATGGTGTGCAGTAAGCAGAGGCGTGATGGTGGACCCTTTTGAGAGCCCATGAGTCCTCTGGAAACCATTGAGTCTTCATAGCCACAGGGCCCCAGGCTCTGCCTGTCACCACCACTCCGGCTCTGGGATCACAGACGCACCCCACCACACCTGGGTTTACGTGGCTCTGGGGACCAAACCCAGGTCTCTGTGTTTGTGCAGCTACAGCCAGACTGTCTCCCCAGCCTCTTGGACTGCACTCCTTAAGCTTTGCTCATTTCCTCCTGCTGACGTCATCCACCAGTCAGGCCAGGGCTGCCCCCTCCCCCAGAACCACCTGTGTGGCACACAGGCCACGCCGTGAACTCACTGGGGCAGGTGTGGTGGCGATCTCTCTCCGCCTTTGCACCCCAATAGCCAGGATTCAGCACACTGTAGGTACCCAGTCTGGCTTTGCTGAGTGTGGCCCCAAGTCATCATGAACTAATTCTCACATTCCCTTGTGGTAAACAGGCATGAACTGTGGACACTTTTTCAGCCTTGCAAAGGGGGTGCTTCATGGTGTAAGCCACAGTGGGGAGGCTTTGCTGGCTAGAGCCCCGTGCCTTCAACTGCTGTTTAACTCTCGATTCCGGCTCAGACACATTTTCTCCTTTCCTCCAAGCTCTCTACGCTCTCATTCTGAGCCTTCCCCTTGAATGACGCCGAGCTGGTCTCTGCACCTGAGGTCTTCTGTCTGACCCCATACTGATGTATGGAAATGTTCTCATCCTTCCTTAGGCCTGCTCAGAGCCCTTTCCTCCTGGCTGTTCTCACGTCCCAGGCAAAGGAGCTCCTCCTTATCCGGGGCCCGCAGAGCACTGGTCATCTCATGAGGCTCTCGGGGTTAACTTTGACTCAGGACTGTGAAACAAATGGGCATTTCCAGTGGTTGCTCTGTTCTTTCTGAGTCAATGATTTTTTTTTTTCCGGAATTTCTGTTTCATGGGTTTCGTTGTGAACACCCTCATGTGGACATCTGCCTTAGATTATCCAGTTACAGACTGTACCGAGTAGACCCTGGGCACAGACGTTGCAAAGGCTAGAGCAGTCTGTCAGGCATTGTTCTCAGCAGAGCAAGAGCCCGCTGTCTGGCTCGCACTGCACGGTGCTGACAGGTGAGGCCCTTCCTTCTGGAAGACTGTGAAAGGAATGCACTGTCTACTGTTAGAGCTTTATCAGTATTGTTGGTCATCTTCACACATCAGTGCTCGAGTATGAGAAAGTCCACCTAAGACAACTGACAGGGAAAACCACCCCCCAATGGCTGTCACCGTTGTGGGTCTGGTGGCTCTCACCGTTGTGGGTCTGGTGGCTGTCACTGTTGTGGGGTCTGGTGGCTGTCACCGTTGTCGGGGTCTGGTGGCTGTCACCATTGTCTGGGTCTGGTGGCTGTCACTGTTGTGGGTCTGGTGGCTCTCACCGTTGTGGGTCTGGTGGCTGCCACTGTTGTGGGTCTGGTGGCTCTCACCGTTGTGGGTCTGGTGGCTGCCACCATTGTGGGTCTGGTGGCTCTCCATCCCTCGCCGTTGTCAGGGTCCCTCCCTCCACACCGTCCCTCTTCTGAGCTGACTGGCAGCTGTGAAGTGGTCTTCTCATCTTCCCTACCAGCTTTGTTCTCTTTGGATTCTTGGCCACAAGCATCAAAGGGCAGAATGGGGTGAGTCTCACAAGTGAGTCACCCCGCAGGGCGATTGCATCCCTCTGTTTGTTAACTTGGTCTATTCTAGCAGAGGTCCTGTTCTCCTTCAGTTTGCTATTTTAGTCCTTTTTTTTTTTTTTTTTTTTTGCTTCATCAGAAATAATGGGTAAAAAATGGTGGGAAATAACTGTGATGGATAGCGAACAGAACATGCGCCTTCAAGATAGCAGAAAGATTACAAAGATTCGGTCACAGATCTTAGGTTTATAAGATGCTCAATGAACGTGTGGTAGTTGCAAAATAGAATGCGTTTGATTCCATTTGAAAAATAAGTAAATTTTTCCTTTATTCTTTAGATTCCTTCTAAGAGAATAGGAGCTGTGGAATATCAAGCCTTAAAAATAGAGAGAATGACTCCCCAAGGAAAAAGGTCAAAAATATGCCCAGGAGACCCAGATGGAATGCTGTGTTACCTACAGGGACATTCCAACCCTTCAGAGTATCTGTATTATTCTTTGACAGTCTCATACATGTACACAATATATCTCAGTCCTAACCACCCTCAACTCCTCCCTCCCACTCTCCAGGACACTTCCTGCGCATCCCTCAATCCCCGAGATCCTCCCCACCCCCACCCCACTGCAATCCAGACTTCCGCTATTGCTTCCTGCTGCGCTGCTGGCTGGTCTCCTTGACTTGCCTTTGTGCGGCAACCACACAGGTTCAGGAGTGCAGTGCTCATGCATGCCCAGATGATGGCATGTCCCAGGTTCGTGAGTGCAGTGGACATACATGCCCAGATGATGGCATGTCCCAGGTTCATGAGTGCAGTGCTCATGCATGTGCAGATGATGATATGTCACAGGTTCATGAGTGCAGTGGTCATGCATGTCCAGATGATGACATGTCACAGGTTAATGAGTGCAGTGCTCATGCATGCCCAGATGATGACATGTCACAGGTTCATGAGTGCAGTGGTCATGCATGTTCAGAAGATGACATGTCACAGGTTCATGAGTGCAGTGGTCATGCATGTTCAGAAGATGGCATGTCACAGGTTCATGAGTGCAGTGGTCATGCATGTCCAGATGATGACATGTCACAGGTTCATGAGTGCAGTGGTCATGCATGTCCAGAAGATGATGTGTCACAGCTCTCCTCCCCATCCAAGCTTACATTCTTCCCCCCCCCCTTTTTCATGATGTCCCCTGAGCTTTGGGTAAGAGGGGGTAGCATAAATGCCCCATTTAGAGAGAATGGACATTTCAGGACATCTGCACAACCAAAAGCCAAGAAGAGAGTAAGAGCCACAGCCTTCATGGCCTCCTCAGGTCCCCACGCCTGTAAGAGTCACATCCATAGAAGGAGCTTAGCATACACTCACCCACTGAGTGGGAAGCAGGTGCAGGAGGTGTGGCTACTGACTAGTGAGGGGCTCTGATGTGAGGGGTGTCACACACTGTGGCTTACACATGCACCAGGAATACTGAGCTTGCCTGTTTTCATTGGAGCTGGGTAACAGCACACTGGAAGACCCTGCTCACGCATTCTCCAGGGAAACCTTCCCTGTCTGTTTAGGGAATGTGCAGGAAGGTTTTGTTCTCTGTCGGGGGCAGCTGGTGCAGGGCCAGGCAGGTTTGCCCGGCCTGACTGCTGCCAATGAGGTGGTTCACAAGAACCCTCAGAGTGGAAAGGGATGAATTTGGGGGTAGGGAGATGGCTCAGCTGATCAGTGAGTGTCTTACAGTGGGAGGATCTGAGTTCAACCCCAGGATTAAAAACAAAAAGCCAGGTAGAGTGGTGTGTGCCTGGAGTCGGTGTGGGTCACTGGGGCTTGCCTACTCAGTGGGCTCCAGGCAGGTAAGAAGTGGAGCCAGGGATGTAGCCAGAGGCAGCCCGGGGCAGTTCCGAACCTCAGGGAAGAAGCCCTGTCCTCAGGGAAGGGAAGCAGGTAGTCAGGCATATGGAATTCCAAGCACACGAGAGACCCTGTCTCAGAAACAAACAAGGTAGAATGTGACTAAGTGATGGTTTGGGTAAGGGCGGCCCCACCCACAGGCTCACATGTTTGAACGCCTGGTTACCAGGGAGCAGCACTGTTTGAAAGGATTAGGGGCGTGGTGGAGGGAGATTGTCACTGGGGTGGGCTTTGAGGTTCCAAATGCTCAGGCCTATTCAAGGCCCAGGTTCTCCTGTGTGCCCTTTTGCTCTCTTTCTGTCTTTCTCTGTGTGTCTGTCTCTCTCTTTGTCTCTCTTTGTGTCTCTGTCTCTTTCTGTGTCTCTCTGTCTTTGCCTCTATCTCTCTCTGTGTCTCTGTCTCTCTCTGTCTGTCTCTTTGTCTCTGTCTCTCTGTCTCTGTCTCTCTATCTCTCTCTGTGTCTCCTTCTCTGTCTCTCTGTCTCTCTCTGTCTCTCTCTATCTCTCTCTGTCTCTCTGTCTCTATCTCTCTGTGTCTCTGTCTCTGTCTCTCTCTGCCTCTCTGCTTGCTGCTGAGGATGTTGTCCACAGCTACTACTCCACCGCCTGGCTGCATGCCTCCATGCTTCCTACCCTGATGATAATAGAATACGCCTCTGAAACTGTAAGACAGACCCAGTTAAACGCCGCCTTTTATGAGAGTTGCCTGGGTCATGGTTCTCTCTCTTCACAATAGAACACTGACTAAGACACGAAGGAACAATAGCCAAGGTTGTCTGTTCTCCAGTCTCCTTGGTTCATGCTCACCCACATACAAAAAAAGAAAAAAAAAATCACAGATCGAAACCTATTCTAAGTGGGATGCTCATCTCCCTAAACCCTCTGGCCAAGCGCCGACTGTGTTCAGGTCAAAGCATTGTGGAAGTGAGTCAGGAAAAGTTGTTGCTGCCCTGGGCTTCCTCTCCTTGGGGTTCACTGGGGACCGCCGCATCCCACTCCGCAGAGGAGCCTTCATCTCCTGATTCTGGCTCCACACAGGTGTCAGACAATGTGTCAGAGACTGACATCAGCAACGAGGCTCAGAATTCCCGGGCCAGCACAGACTCGGCAGAGGAGAAGCTGAGGAACAGATTGTACGAGTTAGCCATGAAAATGAGTGAAAAGGACACTTCTTCCGGGGAGGAGCAGGAGTCCGAGCCCAAGACTGAACCTGAGACCCAGAAGGAAAGCCTCTCTTGTGAGGAAACCAGCCAGGGTGTGCAAGAGGAGCTGAAGAAGGTAAGGGTCTGCAGATAGCGCTGCCTGCTGCAGCTGCAATGTGCACTCTAGTGTGTGTGTGTGTGCAAGTGCGTGTTGCATGCATGCCTGTTTGCACACAGGCACATGTGCATATGTGCACACGTACATCCATGCTAGTGTGTGTGCGCGTGCATGTGTGCACATGTGTGTTTGTGCAGAGATGCCCTGAGTCCCAAAAGGCTTCCTCTACAGTATTCAGTCCATGCACTGGGAGAGAAAAAGAGAACTTTCTCAGTCATTGCCAGGGACAATCACGGAAGGGGCCACTGCCCTAGGGAGTCCCCCACATCGGGGCTCCTGCTGTCCCGCATCTTGAATCATCCATCCCACGGCCCTCCCCATGTCCACTGAGGACACCGTTGCTGTCCTCTCTGCCTCCTTTTCCTGTAGTTTGGGGTTATGCACCCACCCCTTTCTAAAGCAGTGAAGTCTTCTATCCACAGCACAGAGCTTTGTGTTACAAGGGGCCATCTGGACTCATCGACTGTACCATTTTTAGATCCCAATTAGTTTATTTCAGCCCAAGATCCTCTTTCAGCGCAATCTTCCATGGGATCCCTGTGTTCTAAACAGGTCAGTTCTGTTCTTAGAGTCCCAAAGCTCGATCCCTGGGTCTCCGGCCCCACACTCCTTCTCTTCCTTACAAGCAAACCTGAGGTCCTAGGCACATGGTTTGAGAAGCACGGAAGATAAGCCAACCCCCAGCAGAAAGGGATCACAGCAGCCTCCCCACTCTGCCTCCGCCCACTGAGCCAGCTTCCCTCTAAAGTTTCTCAAGACATGTTGATGCTGAGTGTCCCTGTGTGTCACCAGTGAAGGGAAATAGTGACATGTTGAGAGTCCCCTTGTCATGGTGTAGATAGATATAGAGATGATGGGTAGATAGGCAGAGAGACAGATTGCTGATGGATAGATGGTAGGTGAATGATAGATAATAGGCAATAGACAGATAGATGATAGGTAGATGTTAGATTGACAGGTATACTAGTGAATGATAAGTATCAATCTACATAGATAGTAGATAGATGGCAGGATGATAGGTGATAGATAGGTAGTTCATAGATTGGTAAATGATAGATGATAGGTAAATAGATACATAGGTAGGTGAGAGACTGATATGTTGGTAAATTATAGATGATAGATAGACAGACAGACAGACAGATTATGGAAGTCTCTGCAAACACCACAGCCAGCAGAGTAATGATCCATGTGAGCCAAGAAGGAAATCCAGTTCAATACCACTCAGTAGCCACTGTTGGTTCAAGCTTCTAGAGTGTGTCACTGAGCAATTTATTGTAGCTATTTTTAAGCACAGCACATTTTTGGAAAAAAAGTTTTCCTGATGGTAATTAACTCAATCTCCTGTGTACAATAAAACATAAAACATGTTTATATTGAAGATGTTTACAAAGTACACATGATCTCCTCCATAAAGACGGTTCTATTGACTGAGAAGCAGTGCTCAAGGTAAGGGTCTAGGGAGAATTACTGATATCAACATAAAAGTCTGTGGGAGTCAGATGTGGCCTGGTGCCGCAGATAGCACAGAGGTCACCTAGGCTGTTATAAAATGCATGTGTCATCTCCCTTAAGAGTGGGTTCTGTTGACCGAGAAACAATGCTCAAGATAATGGTCTAGAGAGGGAAGAGTCTGAGATCAAATATAGTGTGTGTGGGAGTCAGGTGTGGCCTGGCTCTACAGGTCACCAGGCTGTTAACGATACCCATCCCTTCCAGGCAGAAAACAGATAACCCTGCATGTTTAACATCCCTGGTTCCCCTAGTGCTGATTTGTGAGCACAAGACCTTGTGCCCTCTACAGGTAATAGATTGATAGTAATGATAGATTGATAGATGATCAATTTAAAGATTATGAGCCGATGGATAATAAATGATTGATTGGCTGATTGGTTGGTTGACTGCTTTAGATAGCTTATTGGATGACAGTCTAGCACATTAAATAACCCATTGATATAGTCGCAGCTGATTTTGCAGATGGGGAAAGTGAGCCTGGGTTATCAAGGCTCGTGTGGTGTCAGAGCTGAGTGTGCATCACCAACCTTGACCTCAAATCATGAGCTCCCCTCTTTGTAACAGACCACCTCTTGCTAACTCCAATGGGTTTCATCCCCCAGCACCTGGGGCTCTTGTGTTTCACACTTGAGAGGTGGTTCTCGTAGACTCACCTCTGGCGAGGGGCTTTTCCCTATTCCAAGGGTACACCATGGAAACTCACAGGTTCCTGCTGCCCCTCGTGCACATGTGAAGGATCTCCCACGTTGCTAGACAGCTGAGCCAACTCAACTGCTGTTATAGGAGGAGATAGGACCACTATGATGACAGATGGCCAGCACGGGCCCTGAGGGGAGTAGAGACCGTCACCTGATGTCTGTCTAACAGTTCCATAGCCTGCTGGCTTTTCAGCCTAGTGGTCCCAAAGCTCTAAGGAAAACTCATGCTGGACCAGTGGCAAGGCCTGCTGAGATGAGGTGGTGTGCTGCTGCCCTCACCAGCCGTCTGTCTGCTGTGTGCACACCTAGGAATGATGTGTAAGAAAGGAAGGGTCACTGGAGGGGGGGAGCAGCAAGGCCCCTCCCCCACCGTGCTAACTTCACTTACACTCCCGAGTGTGTAGACTCCTCAGAGTTCAAGTCCATCCCACAGTTTACCACAAGTTCATGAAAATTCAACCAGTTATCATTCTTTGTATGCGAAAATCAATGCCTTAAAAACAAACAAACAAACAAAAAAAGAATGCATTTCCCCCAGCAGGCATGACAACTGGAGAGCAGAAATACAGATTTACAGACTGGATATTATCTAAGTGTAGAGATGTACATAGAGATGTACTATTCAGAGACGGGTTCTAGGCTTAGAGTGCTGTGTTTTGTTGTTTTGCAAACTCTCGACTTAGGCTGATGTCTTAACTCATCACTGCTGTCCTTTCTTGCCTGTCCTCCACCAACCCTCACATCTTCACTGGTCTCCTGTGGCTGCTGGCCCTTCCTGGACCCTGCAGCCCCTCCCCCACGCAGCAGCCCAGCTACCCTGCTACCATAGTACTTCTTCTCAGTGTGCCACCAAGCCTGTGGCAGTCAGTCTGTGATGTAGTGTGAATTCACGTTGGTCTGAGTCAGGTATCCGAGTAAATGCTGAAAGGTCAAAGAAGCAGAGCAGGAGCCAGCAGAGTTCTTAACCTCTGCAAACTCTCTGAGCGAAAGGCAGCTAGCTTCTGTCTCCACTCGCCTCATATTCCTCTCTCTGCCCAACCATATCGCCTCCTGTTTCCTCCTCTCTAGGGCAGGGATTAAAGGCATGAGATCCCAAGTGTATGCTGCCACTGCCTGAACTCTATGGTTAACTAGTGGGTAGCTCCACCCTGGTCTTCTGACAAGCTTTATTTGTTGGAGCACAAACGAACTATCACCACACTGTCTGTCTGTCTGTCTATCTGTCTGTCTATCTGTCTTATTTTTAAGTTGATTCCTAGGATCCAGCCCTGGTTTTTATTGTTGATTGGGTAAATGCATCTTGCCCTGCTTGTAGGACAGGGATAATCAAACCGCCTTTCAGAGTTGTGAGGCTTGAATTATGCAGCATAAGCTTCTAGCCCAGCAGGAGCCTAGCAAATGCTAATTAGCATATCCCCTTAATAAGCTCCAGGAAAATCAACTTCACAAAACACTGTCCATCTGCTTGGGCTGAGAGTGGTGAGCTCAACGCCTTGTGCAGACACAGATCTGTGTCCACAGCTGGTGCCCTTCTCGATGTGCAGAATGTCAGTGGGGGACCAATGCATGTGGCTGAACCCCAAGTTCCCATCTTTAAGATCAGTGTAGCTGTGACGCACCCCCCCCCCATGATTCAGCCACTGCTGGTCTATACAACACACACACACACACACACACACACACTCACACACACACACACACACACACACACACACCAAAGAGCAGGAACCTTAAACCTTACAGGGACCTTCTCCTGTAGAACTACTTCCCTCTAGGATGTGGCATTCCTGAAAAAGGAACATCAAGAAAAGCCGGAGCTGGCCTGAGTCTAAAGGCAACATTTCGGTAGCCAAGTCACCCACACATGCCCTTCTGCTTAACTGCTGTTTTATGGAACAGAGACTTTTTAGCCACCCTGCTCTTACCCACAGTGCTTGAGCAGGCAAAGTTTCCCTTCACTCAGCATCATCCGTGCCCATTGGTGTGTCATGCAGGCCAGGCAGAGGGACTGCCACAGGCAGCTAGGCAGAGTTCTGGAACTGTCCTCTATCACAGGGGCTTCTGAACAGTTTTCCCTTGAGGCAAACATGGACTGATCATGGGAAAAAACTTCCCAGACCTCCTGTGCAGGTGGGGTCTTCACCCGCTGTGAAACACGGGTGTCATTAGAAAAGCCATCGCCCCAGCTACAGCAGAAGGAAGCACAGGACAGGCGGGATTTGAGAAAGTCAGACATGCCCTCAGAGCTGTGAATACAACGATCTGAACCTCAGACCCCTGATTTGGAACCCTTGTTCCACAGAGGCCCCAAAACAAAGATGCCCCCAGGAGGTAGAATGATGGGAAGGAAGGGAGGAAGGGAGGAAGGAAGGGAGGAAGGAAGGGAGGAAGGGAGGGAGGAAGGGAGGAAGGAGCACCTTGAACAAAGCTTGTCAGAATTATTTTCTGAGTTAAGAGAGCACAAAGCAAGCAGGTTTTCATCTGATTTCCACAAGTGCACTGTGGCATACATGCAACCATATTCATACACACATGCATATGTACATAATACATACATATATGCATACATGCATGCATGCATCCATATTCATACATACATACATACATGCCTACATACATGCATGCATCCATATTCATACACACGAGCATACATGCATAATTCATGCATACACATTCATACACACATGCATACATATATGCATGCTGCATGTATCCATATTCATACACATGCATACATGCATGCATCCA